TCTGCCACCAATCCGTTTATTTATGTTCAACTTAATTTCTTTATTTTAAATTTGCTAAAATGAAAGTTGTTCCTTAAATTACTTGCGCATTAAAGTCCTTGTCGGCATCAAATGAGCATTCATAAATTCTGGAGAGGAGGTATCAATAAAATTCGCTTCATTTGACGAGAAGCTGTTGTCAATTAGGGTGTGTGTGTGTGTGTGTGTGGGTGGATGTGACTCAAAAGTCATACGTACACAAAAGACACGCCCCCACACAGACCCATCATAGAAACCCATTTGAAACCCTGAATCCGGCTTGACGCTCGTTAATAAATGCCTGGAGCGGTTTTTAATGATTGTTGAGCTGGCGTCACTCACTCCGTGAAATGTGTTTCTCGATTTTTGCAGACTGTTTTCATGAACTGGACGGTCGCCGTGGAGAGCCATGTGGACTCGTCCTTCTTCTGGGGCTATCTGGTGACGCAGATTCCCGGCGGCTTCATCGCCTCCAAGTTCCCGGCCAACAAGATATTCGGTCTGTCCATCGTGAGCTCCGCCACGCTGCATCTCTTCGTGCCATTCGCCATGACCCTGATGCACGGTCATGTGGTGATTTGCGTGAGGGTCCTGCAAGGACTCTTCGAGGTATGTAGCCCAACCAACCTAACAACTTGCCCAATTCGATTTTGCCACAGATCAAAGCCGGGGATTACGGCTGCGTGATGTTGCGAAAATGGGGAGGGTTAGATTTTGCTTTATGATAAAGCAAATATGTGAAATGGAAACATGTCCTAAGCCCTCAATGGGATGGGGTCCTGGCAGGGCAGGGGAAAAATAACAAAAGCATTTATTTTAATGCGATTTCTTTGTGCCAAGGACTGGGGAGTATGTCATTTTTCTTCGTCTTGGAAGGGAACGTTTGATACTTAAAGGATGTTTCTTTACTACTATATTTGAGATTTATCTTTTTAGTAGAGATTCCGTAACATTCAAGTTTTATAATTTGAAAAAGCACATATCCTATAAAAACTGCTTTATAGTTAGAGACTGCCTGCATAAGTCATTATTTGACTCATTGGAATAATCCATATCCTTCACCACATCCCTAGGGCGTTACCTATCCAGCTTGCCATGGTATCTGGCGCTTCTGGGCGCCGCCCATGGAACGCTCCCGACTGGCGACGCTGGCCTTTTCCGGTTCCTATGCGGGCGTGGTGGTGGGACTACCGCTCTCCGGACTTCTGGCCGATGCCGTGGGCTACCAGGCGCCGTTCTACGCCTACGGGGTGTTCGGCATCATATGGTACATGTTCTGGATATGGTTGTGCTTCGAGAATCCGCGCAAGCATCCGGCCATCAGCATACCCGAGCTGAAGTACATCGAGAAATCGCTCGGGGAGTCGGCTCATCCGACGATGCCATCCCTGAAGACGACTCCATGGCGAGAGATGATGCGTTCGATGCCGGTGTACGCCATCATTGTGGCGAACTTCTGCCGCTCCTGGAACTTCTACCTCCTGGTGCTGTTCCAGTCCTCGTTCCTCAAGCACAAGTTCGGTTTTAAGGTGGAGGAGGCGGGCTTCGTGGGCTCCCTGCCCCACTTGATCATGACCACGATAGTTCCATTTGGCGGCATGTTGGCGGATCACCTGCGGAAGAATGGAATCCTGTCCACCACCAATGTGCGAAAGCTCTTCAATTGCGGCGGCTTCGGCATGGAAGGCCTGTTTTTCCTATTCGTGGCACATTCCTCAACGGCGGTAAGCCATGAACAAATTTCATTTTTCTCCTTCACTTACTTTCTTTTTTCAGACGGGTGCCATGTTTGCTCTGACCTGCGGCGTGGCCTTCAGTGGCTTTGCTATATCCGGTTATAATGTCAATCACCTGGATATTGCTCCTCGTTATGCCAGTATATTGATGGGTCTTTCGAATGGAATTGGCACTCTGGCCGGCATCATTGTGCCCTATGCCCTTGATGGTCTCATCCAGGCTAATGTAAGTTTGGATTCATAGATACGTGTATATAAATGTTAGAAATATGTTTTAGATGCAAGGTGGTTCCTGTAGCTAATACACTTGTTTAGTATCTTATATCTATGTATAAATATATTCTAATGTTTCAGCCCACCGGTTGCTGGACCACTGTCTTCACCCTGGCCGCATGTGTTCACTTGGTTGGCTGCACTTTCTACGGCGTTTTTGCCTCCGGAGAGCTGCAGCCGTGGGCGGAACCTCCGGCCGAGGAGCAAAAGGTGTGGGCTCCACCACCAGGTGCCATTACCAACACGGATCCTAGCCAGGCGGGCATGCTGGGCGACTACATGAAGGAAACCTCATTTGTAAGTCTACAATTTTGATATATTTATATATTTTTACTATTCCTATCAATCCAGCAACTAAATTCGAAGCGTTTTTGTATCTTTTTCTCGAATAGGGTGCCCCCGAGTACACTGAACAGAGCCAAATGCAGCAGTCGAATGCCATTAGCTACGGCGCCACAGGACACGTGGCCAACAATCCCTTCGCCATGGCCAGCAGTGCTCCGCCCATTGCGGAGGAGGATGTCCCACCGTCCTACGGGGATGTCACCAATCCTGGCCAGTATGGATACACGCAAGGACAAATGCCGTCCTACGATCCGCAGGGATACCAGCAGCAGTAATGGGTTCGCCAAAGGTCACTGATATATATCATAGCTTTTAGTTGTAGTCGGAAATCGTTTGACGTTTATTGTTTGTTCTTGGTGTGCCGTTCAAGTTTTCCCCCATTCTCTCTATTTGTTGGGTTCCATGGATGGAGGACCCTTCCAGGAGCTACCATAAACATATAAATGTATAACTAAAGAGTAACGAATTTGTCAGCGAATAAGGGGATTCCACATGCCACACTAACACAATGAAACTATGTACCTAACAGAGAAACTACATATGCATACACAGCAATACCGATAACCACTACCAATACCATTAGCCCACATAGACCCAAACTGGCCTAATCGATCTATAAAGCATATAACTATTAGGGTCTCGCTTACGCGAATTTCTATTTACAAGCTCTGAAAATCGAAACTGCAACACAAGATAGGGAAAGAACTGGAAATATATACTCAACACTTGTGTATATCATAAATCACATAATCCAAACAAAGCCTATGATAATTATATTTATATCGGTATAATCGTATATACATATATAGCCAAAGATTGTTGTTGAACTGCAAACTGCAAGTTTTATTACCGTTGATGATATTACAAGTATCTTCTGTGTAAAGAGAACATTTTAATCAAACCCAAGCAATTGTTGATGTTCGGCACGAATGATAACCATAAAAGGAACTAGCTAATCAAAAGTCATAAGAATACTCTGTTAACTAATTACTGTTTATGTTTGATATTATTTATTTCATTGATATTAACGCACCGTATGCTTTTGTGTTAAAATAACATGAGCAAGGCATGATATAGGTACTAAAAATAATACTTAAGTAGATAGCCGTAGGCGCATATAACCTCAGACTTGGTCTTCATATGCTCACTACCACTAAATAATATTAAGCGGAAGGATTACTTCAAATAAATATTTAAAAGGGTTCGGTTTCTTCAGTGTTTTTTCCAAAAAACTATTATACGAATTAATTTATACTAACGACGTAATCAGTTATTTTCAATGCAATTTTTATTTACTTCTACTAATTATCATTAATACTTTTGTAAGCCTAAGTAAATTTAAAGTAAAATGATTACTATATAAGACGTATTAAATCTCTCTAAAGTAATAAATTTAACCAATTTCGAAACATGTAGTAGATTGTAAATAAATTGTTTTACGTAATTTAAACCTTTTTGTAACATTATTCTGCACAACTTTGATTTTAAAGCACAAATTTAAATTACAAAATGCACTATTGTTTTTTGTTGTTTATTAGTTAAAGCACCACTTGTTAATTTAAAGTTGTTAAATTTTAATTACTGTTTAGTTAAAGTTTTCAACTACTGCCGCAAATACATATTTAGACGAACTTACTTTCGCATTGTACCATTGAATATGCAAATTTACACAAATTATTTCTAGTCGTCTGTATATTACCCGATCGTATTAAGCTAGCCACAAGTATTATAAATAGCTATATAAAGGTAATTTAAATTATTCACATTTAAATCACTATGTATTAAAAACGTGAACATTTTCTAACTAAAAGAGTCAATTCTAATACCGTAATTTGTACAGCGCAGCGAATAAATAATCACACAGATACTCGTATAGCCACTTAAAAATAGCTATTATATATTACAATTTTAAATGTTATTGGATCAAAGTTCCAATTGAAGAAAACAATACTGCTTGTGTAAGCGACAATACCTAGTGAAGTAAGCCTAGTTAATAGTTAAAACATTTACTTTGGTCTATCATTTATATTTACTTACCATTATGTTTCGATTTTAGGCTCAAATTTTTAAACTAATGCTCATGCAGGCAATTTAAAATGTTGGCCATTGGGGCGTATGTGTAATATTAGGATAGTGTAAAATCCATTCTGTATATAAAACCGATTCTTCAATTGAGTATGGCTCTTTTAACCTGGAGACTATAACAATAGAGATTTCGATTTGATTTCCCTTTTTTTTTTTTTTGAGAGATACTCAAGCTCTCGGGGCTGTGTGGACAATAATAACATAAATATGTTAACCAGAAAGCCACGTTTAAACTTTTGCTTGCTAAGATATAAAAAAGTAATGAAAATCACTTGACATAACAGTTTGTAAATAAAGCGTATCTCGCAGTCGAATGCCATCATTAAATGCTTTTGTGAGTAATTTAAGTGTACATACAGCCAAGTCGAACCGAAGCATAACTTAAACCTAAACGAGCGCAACTTTAATAGTCTTACACTATCAGTTTTGGCCATAACCAGTCACAAAAGAACAGGTCGCATCTAGGGTATTTTAACTTCTAGCCAAACATTAATGTTGTGCATGAAGATAAGTGGAAAGCGCGAAGGATATGCATATACTTTCATACAGAAATATAGGCGCACAATACCAGATATATGCTATTAAAATAAATCATAACTATCTTCTAATCATTAATCAAATGACAAAGGAGTTGCCGAATCGCCTCCACAGAGTCTTCTGAATATTTAAAAGATGTAGAATGATATTACCGCTATACTTAAACCGTGTATATAATTAGTAACAAAATATTCTTTGTGTTCACTGAGAGTTCTGTATACACAATATAAAATATTGAATCAAAATTATGAATATTAAACGCAATCGGAGATCCCTTTTCTGGCAACACCCGCCCATGTTGTTTAATTTGTATGGTAGCTAAACCAAATTAAAATAATACTTATATATTTCAGTGTATGGTCATTAAAAAAAACAAAACAAATATTTAAAAGCATAACCGAATAAAGAAGAGTTAAAACCCCTATTCATTTAAAAACAGAATAAATCTACCAATCTTCACCAATAACACTTGAATTTCGTTACCAAAAGAAAAGATATAATGTCCTTGCATGAGAATACTAATGAATACCATAATGAAGGTCATTAAACCACAACAAAATTAAGCCTAATGAAATGTATTTGGAATTCAATAAAACGAACATGTTAAAATTATGCCAAACAAATTAGTTTTTTATTCCACATCAACTTTCGGCATAAGACTTAACTATTTTTTTGTATAAGTCCCAACGAAAAATGGCTGCTTTTAGAACTAATAACAAAAATATGAAATAAATAGGTATCAGTTAGGAAACAAGCTAAAATCACATGAGTGCTACGGTGCAAAAGATGCATAAATTGAGGCGCTTTTCCAATCGATTCAAATACACATTTTACGATTCGCCATGTCGAACAGCATTATCTCCGTACTCCCTGGTACTCCCCATTGGATCGTCCTTTTCCCGGAAATCCGCGAGCAAACGGCGCCTTGGCATTGGTGGTCACATAATAGTTTCCTCGTGCTCTGCAGAAAGTTAATGAATATTTATAATAATATTTAGGGGAATGTGTGTCAAAAGTGTTACTAACTTGTGTGAACAGTGTTCGCCCATTAGCACATACTCCGAGTCCTTGGGCTCGCACCAACCAATTAGGTAGGAGAACAAGTTGGGACAAGGACCCGCATAGAATCCCCGTGCTGTCGTTATGGATTCAATAAAGTACGGCGTGACTTTTGTGTGATCACAAGCCAACGTTTCTGGGGGATAAGGATAGTAAGTAATAATAGTAATATTATAATATTATTTAATTCGTGTTACACTTTTGAAATGATTTCATTTTAGTACAATAAAATTTTACTCACGAAACAGGGTTGCCGATCCCACACAAGCTGGTTGCCTGGTGCCTCCGTTCACATAGAAGTCCGCATGACCACTGGAGTGCCACTGCCCCAGGATGCCAGCTCCGGTGTGCAGGACATCCACAAAGTGGGCGTCCGTTGTATCCAGATCCCTGGAGTTGTTGGCCCCGGCATAGAAGAATATCGTTGGATCCAGGGCGGTGATCCTGCCCAGCTTGCCCTCCTCCGGCTTCAAATAGTTGGCCACCAGACCGGCGATGTGGGCACCCACACTGTATCCAATAAAGTGCAGGTCGTCCGGCTGGACGCCACGAGGATGTCGGGCGAGGTATTTGACCAGCTGGGAGATACACAGGCTGCCGAACCGAGGAGCCCAGTCCATCTGACTCAGACAGGGTTCCTTAACGGCATCCGCGTAGTCCACTATGATGATGTTGTACTCGCCCACACTGAAGTAGGCCTCCCGCAGATCCGGACTGGGACTCAGAGTTCTGCCGCCCCCGAAGCCATGGATTATGATCTTGGTGGGATGGCGTGGATTGAAGTGGGTGTAGTACAGGGCGTTCGGATCCAGGACATCAATGAACTCCGGCTGCTCCTGGGTGCGTCTCGTGTACAGATAGAACTGGATCTTCGGATGAGGACAGCGGTACGGCTTTTGCAGGCAAGAATCCGTCACATAGACCTGGGTTTGGTTTTGGCCAGCCGCCACGGCCGCTGCCACCACTCCCGCATTTTGAGCAGCTGTACGGAGGATGTGAGAAACAAGATACAAGATCTTAGTTGACAAACTTGTTTCGCTCTGCGAGATATTACATTTAATTACATAAGCCGCTGGCAGCGACATTGAATGCTTGCAATTTGGCACGCCGCAAATGTCATGCGATTGCTGTTGCAGTTGCAGTTGCAGCAGCAACATTCGGTCGCAGAAAGTAAAAGTCAGACCCAAACGGAAGTGACGCTATTTTCTGTGGCCTCCTGCTCTTTGTTTGCGATTTGCCACCAACGACTGGGTTTATTTTTGACAAAACGCGCTGCTCATGATATAACTGGAGCTGGATGTGGAATGAGTATGCGTAATTTATCCATCCGACTCATGGGGGAAGGAGATCGACTTATCTGACACTTGGCTCGTTGCCTGCGAACAGATATGCGCCAAGTGGTTCGGATTCGCAATTGTGATGGGTGGCTTCACATGTGCGGTTAGGCTGCCTGGATTTTCCACTAAAGTATTGTGTATTATGCGCATCTATGATTTTCACAGTCAATTTAGTTATCTTTAAATTAAGCTAACTAGCTACAAAATGTAACAGATATTGTTCACCCAAACTGGTTATTTAGGACCACGTAATAATTGTACTGCACTTCAAAGTTCTTTACGAGAGTGCCAAATGAATGGCGAACTGTAATGAAATAAATCAAACAAGTACTGATATTTTTGAACGGCCTTTAGCTAGCTCCAACTATTTTTCCTGTCCGCGGTGTTGAGCTCACCGCATGCGTAAAAAACCTAAGTGCGCTTTGAATCTAAATGGCCAAATTAAAAATCTAACGCATCAGGCCTGAGAATCGGCCTTCAACTGGCTCAGTTGGTGGCGCCAAAATGTTGACTAGCAATTGGCCCACTTGTGGTTGGGGTTAGCTTGTGGTTAGCCGATAACCGAAAGTCATGCAACCGGTCTATGAAACTATTGCAGATGCTGACTCTTGCCGGTTGGGTGGCCACTGGAAATACCCGAAGACATCAGCTGCCTTATAGGGCATACACATACATATATATACCCCAGCGACACAGTGAACACGGCTTGTTTCACTCTCATTGCCATGACGAGTGTTTGTTAGACCAGCAGCTGGTTGAATTAATCATGCAACAAGCGTCTTTTTACATCACAGAAGGCAGCATAACGCCTCTCAACCGCCCACCGATATCCGCGATACAGGCAGAGATAATTATATGCTATAAATGCAGTCATTCATACTCAACCAATTCCTGTTTTTTTGTGCCCTAACGTAGGACCCTAACCAACATCCTTTTCTTTCTCTGTAGCCATATCAGCTTCCACCCGCACTCCACCTTCTCCCCACTTAGCAATGGGCTGTGGTCGCGGTCATGCCTCAATTGTCTTGAGCTTTTCTGCTGTTTTCATTGGTTTTTCACAATCGTTTATCTCGGACTTCGTGAGCTGCTTTTCCCATCTTATGTAAGTCCACCTCCTCCCCTTTTCTATTTTCTTTTCCATTCGGGCATTACGCACGCCAATTAAATGACTTTTTTGGGTTTGTTTATATTTTTTGGCGGGAAAACTGTATGGGGAAATTTTGGGAGCGTACTGGCCGGAAAACACTGTCCAACTAACACAAATCAGGCCCGAAACGGAAGCAGTCGAATGCGGAAGGAGAAAAGAGAGTTGGACGCGAAACACGAAATACTCATCGCCTGCTAAGTGAAAGATGATTTTGGGTTGTCTCGCTTTTGACTTTGTTTATTTGTTTATTTGTGGGTTTTTGTGTTTTTGTGTTTTTATTTGCCATGACTCATGGGCATTGTTTGGCTTTGGCTTGGTTTTTACGTTAGGTGTTATTGGCCAATTGACTTCGAATCGATATCGAGATTTGTGTGTCACAACCTTAAGGCTTTGAAGTGCTGGCAAAGTATATTGCATGGCTTGGTTGTTAATTGGATAATCATGTGGGCACAGTTCTTAAAATATTTCTTCATCACAGGCTGCAATATAAAATTAACTGCTACGAGATTTCAACATATAATTGACCTGCTTTAAGACTATAATTGCTCGGATTTCCTTGGGTTCATTAACCAGCAATCTGGCCTAATGACAGTCCTCTCCAAAGGCTGTTATTCTATATCATCTGACGGCCGTGACCCTCTGAATTCAAATCTTGACACGCAGCCCGGCAATGCGTATACGCCCTGTATGACACCTCCGACAGCGGCAATAAAATGCCAGGCCCTAAATAAGTTTCAAAAGCTACAAAGAGTGTCAAGGTGCAGGGACAGAAAAATATGAATGCATAAGGTGCATAAAATTTTAGAGATTTCGGGGCGGACTTAATCGGTAGTCGGGTCAATTAATTAACTCGGCTACGTGAGATTACAAAAGTCACACCATGACAAGGCAGCAGTTTTGTGTGGGATGAGCCCCGTGAAGTATTTGGTACTCGAAGATAGGCCTTTCAAGATATTAAAATTGTTGTTGACCAAGATATGAGGCAAGGTCGCAATCGGGAGAAGAAAATGCTGGTAAACATTGTGCAACTAGTTAAAAATGAAATTTAAAACGACGCCAATTTGAAGTGTCAACAGAAACAAAAACAGCAGACACAATGACAGGGCCAAGCGAAAGATATTGGGAAGAAATAAGTGCCAGCCAGGGCGAAAGTAAAAGTTTAACTTAAATTTGTGTCTTTATGGTTTTTTCTTTTAGCACAACATATACGAACCGGCGAATTCCAGGCGAACGAGTGAAAAACTCATGCAGAGCAGCTGCAGCCAAAAGTCTGCACGTATTGGTTTCCTCACACACTGTAACCACATGCTTTTCCTTTTTCGGCTTTTATGTTTTGCAAATTCACGCTACTTTTAATTTCAACTGCAGTTACAAGAGCTATTATATAACCGGGTTGTGTTTAGCGGAATCTCTGATCTCTTCTGGGCTTTGGGTCAAGGCCTGCTCGTTGACCGGCGACTCAACTGTCTCAAAGTGCAAACTCTTTCTTGGGCACCAGCTCGAGAGCTGGTCATTGGACTCGATTTCGATTTCAGTGCACAGCAAGACGACGGCAAAGCTGGCGAGGCATAATTCCGGCTGCCCCTGCGCAGAAATTGATTCAGTTTTGTGTTTTACCACAAGTCTTTTACTACTGCGGGCACGCGCGGTATCACAAAGAGATTGGCCACCAATCGATCTTGGCTTTCACCGCCCGAAGTTCGCGTACACGTGCAATTTGATTGCGCTCCGGCGAGCCACTGACTGTCGAGTTCGTGTCCGAAGTCTTTCGTTTTTGGGCTGCCCAAAAGTTTGCGTCGGCGCGCAAAAGCTCGCTTTACGCGAAAAGCTTTCAACTTCGTTTTGGTATTTAAATACGACTGAAAAGTATTTTCAACGGTTTTATATATCTATATTCGCAGCGTACAAAACTAATACATATAACGCGTCTATCTTATGTATTTGCACATGTCATTCCCTGGCTGAATTCCACAGGCAGATGCCACGTTATATACTTTATCTTGCTGCAATGGTGCTCAATGTAGTCCTTGGATTCGACGTCAATGTAAGCCATGAGCTCAAAGTTGGTGGAATCCCGAAAGATTACCTTAGAATCATATGTATCTGAGCAAGGATCCAAAGGAGTCTTCCTCATCACGCACCATTTCCCGGTGTCAAGGCCGCAGTTTTGGTTTTCAAATATGTGGAACACACTGCAGAGCGACCTTTCCACGACCATTGGTACAACAAATGTGCACCGCACCAGCTCAAAATGTCTGATGAAAGACATGCATCTGTAAGGTGGACACATGGGTTGTGCTGCCCGGAGAAGCCATTCACTGGAGTCAGTGTCCTCGGCAACGAGTAGCAAAGAGCAGTCGAATTCAGCTACCGGAGTACATTGGCTGAAGCTCAGTGAGGCGACGTCCTGTGTGGTATGGAATGCTTCAGCCAGGAACTCCAAGATACAATTGAAATCACATTCGCCGGGGCACTCTTCATTGGTGATTACTACACCAAATCGGCGATCTTCGGGCATTACCCTAGCGTACGGAGGACGATTATCCTCGCAGCATTTGATTTCGCATGGGTCCTCGGAAACACAGCTATTCGCGTCGCTTTTAGGACAGTAGGAGGGCCCAGAGCTCTGGGGTGCCATAAAGGAGCTTCTCGTACTAGAGAGGCCATTGATACTTGGCTCTGAACTAGCGGAACTTGAGCACCCACCGCCCAACGCGACGATCTGCGGCCCAACCTCATTGGGCACCTCCATGTCCACATCCTTCAGCACTGACCGGCAGCGTCGATCGAAATTATCCAAAAACTGGATACGACCAAAAAGCGCATCATCGTGATAAGCCAAGAGATCAGCCTTACATTTCTTCGCCACCTTCCACAAGAGGTATTCGTCTTTGAGGACCGTATCAAAAAACATAATTTTTTGATCTTCCACTGGAATTTTGGTGTGCTTCCTCAACACAAGTTTTAAATCAGAAATTTTGTAGTCTTCTTTAATACGTACTACGGCGGCCTGCCGATACTCCCGATTGCTTTTTATAAAAAGTTGTACAAACATTGTTGAAAAAGTAAAGATAATAGGAAAGGTGTTTATCGAAAGAGATCGAAACTTATACTGAGCAGTAATCCAATTCGACAATGTACAAAGGTTTGATGTGTCACAGTTAGCCTACTTTGTTCAATATTTGTACAATTTTACATGCATGCTGTGGCTTTTTAACAAACCAAGTATTTCGAGTTCTAGTTTAAAGAAATGCAATGCCATTAAGTGCATACAAAAGTATATATAATAATTCTCTCAAGCAGTACTTATAATAATTAAATTTCCGTGAAATTGCGAAGTTCCGAAACTTCAAACTCGACTTCAACAAGAGGTCCTTTGGCAAAAGGAGCAACCTCGTTGGTGGTGAGAAAGTACGAGCCCGAGGCACTGAAAATTTAAAAGGTTATCTCATAAAATAATATCACAAATCAATTGGCAAAATTGTACTCTTCTGCGACGAAGTAACCCATTTGGGTATTGGGCATGTTGGAGTAGTGGCTGCACCGCTGCGAGAAGAAATCGAACCATCCGCCGCATTGCTGGGCCCAAAAACCTCTTCTCGATGTTATCGACTCGCCGTAGTATACGGCTGCCCGGTAATGATTACAGTTGTAGAATCTCCAGTTGCTGATGTAGCTGCACCCCCGTTGATTTAGCTGGTCGAGATTGGGGTAGAAGTCTGCATGACCCATTGGCGGCAGCATGGAAAAGAAGAACGGATCGGTGTGTATGATGTCCACAAAGTCGGCGTCACTGGCATCCAGCTTTTGCTGCATCGAGGGCTGCATCATGAAGCCAGGACCCGCAGGATCTAGTCCAGTAATCCTAGCCAGAGGTTGGCTCACGTAGTTAGCCACCATTCCAGCCACTTGGGCTCCCAAGCTGAAGCCTATCAAGTGAATATCCTCTCGTCTGCTGATGCCAGCTGAGATTAGATTATTTATCATCTGGGCCAGGCACTCAGAGACAATTGGTGCATTATTCACGGCCCAAGGATAATAACATGGCCAGCGCACCAATGTCCCATAGTCCACCGATATCACATTTACAGGCTGAGTTTGGAGCAGCACATCCCTAACTTCCAAATTTGGAGTCAAGTTCCTGCTTCCAACAAATCCATGGATGAGTATCTTTAGTGGCAGACGCGGCTCGAAGAAATCCTTTTGCGGGTTCAAAGGATCTAATTGTTTGGGATCGTAGCGTGTTTGGCTGGAAAGTAATCAAAACTTAATCCAGATAATGTTAACTTGTATATTTATTATTGTTATCACTTGGTGTAAAGCCAAAACGAAACTCGTGAATTGGGACACTTTTGCTCGCCGAAGACACAGAACTCCGGCAGCCAGCCACGCGTACGATTTTCTCCTTCGCAGAAACCGGAGATTATTGTTAAAAGCAGGATCAGTGCGCTGTATTTGCTCATGACTAAAGTCTAAACTGCTCTAAGCTCGTATTCTAGCGCAAATTCTATTAAATTTGCACGGCCTAGCATTGAAAATGGCATACAATATGAGGGCGCATTCAAAAAGACCAACAATACTGGCAGGTGATAAAAAGTCAAGGCTGCCGATGGTGGGTGAGACTCGGCAGGTCAAGGTCGCTGCGGGTGGGTTGGGTGTTAGAAACTGGCAATATAAATAACGTAGTGGAGCAGCGGAGAACATAAAATGGATTTGTTAAGGAAGCTTTCTGTAACTGATAATTTGAAAAATTATTCATTTCAGCAACTAACTATTTATCGTTTTTATCTATAATTTAAAATTGCATTTAAGCCAATTATTTGAGCCAAAACTATTTATTGTTTTAATATATTATTTAAAAATGTACTTAAGCTAATTTGGGAAATCCAATATTTATCAAATTATCAGTTACAGAAAACTTCCTAAACAAATCCATTTATTTTTATTGCCAGTTTCTAACACCCCACCCGCAGCAACCAAGGGATTTTTGTCATATTTCTTTATTTACATCATTTTAAATGCATTCATATATTACATTTTACATAAATTACCTACTTAATCAAATTTTTGGACAAAGGTTCATCTTCCGCCCGATGGGTCCAGTTCAACTGCTTATCCAAATCGGCTTTATCCATATTGACAACCACTTTCACTTTATCCAACTCGAGGAACGCCTCCAACAACTGGGGCTCGTAGCCATTGGCGATTTCATTGTGTTTGAAATTCAAATGGAACTTGGCCAGGGTCTGTCTATTGTCCACATCCGGCATTTTTCCGAGGGCAAAGGGCGACTTACCTGCGGTCTGGAGGAAGTACGAGCCCCTCAACTCATTCGAAACGCGATAGCCCATTAGAGATTGAGCTCCTGTTGTTGGACAAAGTGCAAGGAGTTGGACCAACCAACTGGTACATTGCCGTCCCCAGAAACCCACAGTGGAATTGATGGACTCGGCGTAGAAGCGAGGAGCCCTCTCGTGATTGCAGCTACCAGGATCTTGCATGTTCTCCTCCATGCAGCCAGGTTGTTTGACTCCAAAGTTTGGATAGAAGTCCACATGACCAGCGGAGCGCAGATATCCGCGACCGAAAGCATCTGTGTGGATGACGTCCACGAAATCGGCATCTCCTTGGTCTAATCTTCTCGAATCTGGTCCCAAGATGAAGAGGGGCTTCGCAGGATCCAGACCAGTGATCCTCTTCAGCTTTCTCTTCACATAGTTGGCCGTCTGCCCCGCCACCTGTCCACCCAAACTGAAGCCTATCAGGTGGATTTGGTCGTTTGCGACGATTGCCCGATCCACCAGGTTATTGATCAACTGGGCCAGGCATCGACTCACTAGGGGAAGATTCTGAACAGCCTGAATGTAGCAGGGATATGCCACAAGTGGTCCATAGTCAATGGAGATCACGTACACATCTTCGTGATCGAGGAGCACGGGACGGATGTAGGAGTTGGGAGCAAAGTCACGGTAGCCTGTGTAGCCATGGATAAGTATCTTCAAAGGACGTGGCGGTTGGAAGTCCCACGGATTGAGGTCAAGGGGATTCAGCAGTTTGGGGTTTTCTCGGGTGGAACTGTGGAAAAAGTTATTATATATTATTTAATTATCTGCGTACCTACTTCGAGTACAGCCAGAAGGATACGTTTTTATTGGGACATTCTCCCGTAACAACTTGGCAGGCTGGATCAAAAAGGCCCACTATCGGGTTGGCACTGGCACTTCCCCAAATGAATGCTGTTCAGGTAGACACAATGTAATAGATTTGCTGTATGGCTTCGTTTTGGATAACTTACCCAGCAAAGGGAGCCACACCGTTGACTTCATGTCCCATATACTCGTACTTCTAATGCCGTGTATAAACTGGGTTCCGGGCAACAAGAGCGGTTGCTATTTAAATGGAGCAGGTATCGCAGCCGGCGATCTTTCTATTGGTAACTGATTGAGTCGGTGGCATACATATGTAAGCACCCACACAGAGGCATATGGTGGTGTCCAATGGTGGGCTCCAAAACCTATTGGTGTCAAACGATAATGAAAGTGTTTGAAGTTCGCGTTGTTGGCGGGGCTGTTGTGTTGGGAAAAGCAATGCGAACGAGTGATTTAGTAGGCTAATATCAAGGGGCTATAAGTAAATATTTTGAATCGCTATAATAGCCGAGCATTTAAGGCATAAAATCAGATTTTCCACACGTGTTTGGTTCCAATCAGTTAGTTTTGAGCCGATATGGGTGAAACAAACAATACTTTGCTTAAAAGTGTAAATCCGCCTGGTTTCATTGGCATTTTCACGGTTGAACTGTTGTCTGATTTAGTGAAAGTAATGTATTAACTAATCCGTAGCGCTTACAACAAAACATAATCAATAAAGCAGCTAGTTGGTTAATTAGCTTGGTAATTGACTAGCCAACACGTTATTTACTCAATAACCTCGTCGAGGCTTATTTTGAATGAAAATACCACTGCGCTGTATCATAAATAAATTATAAAAATTGTATAATAAGTAAATTATTTTCCGGCCTTGAATTTGTAGAATATTTCAGTTGCGTTTGATTTTCACTTTTGAATTAACAGTGCCATTTAACATTACTCTAAGCACTGCGTGACATAGCAGCCAGCCTGCGACACAGGCCACTAACAGAATAGGGGGACTCCGCATTAAATTGAAAAATACAAACAAAATTTAAATTTAAAAAATGTTAACACAAACTCTTTCAAATCTTTATTTTACTTTGCTTAAACCGGTACTTAATATTCGCATATCTCAATCGATCTTAAGTGAAGTTATCGTAAGCCGCCCCCTAACATTTTGGTGTTTTCGAAACTTCCGCCTGAGGTCGCACTAATAAATATATAATATCTTCATCTGTTATGAAAATGATAAGTAATACTGGAATTTCAGCATCGCTGATTAGGATCGCCCTGTCCAAAGCACCTTTACATAATGGCCAAGCGACAGACTTGGGAGCAGATGCGCCAGATCTTTGTCCAGGCGGTAAACGCCGTGCATCCTGAGAAGGTATTCGCTGACTTCCAAAAGTTCGATTTGCGGCCTCAAAGCGGCGAGAACCCAGCGGATATATCCATAAAACTCAATGGAGAGCGTCAGGACATCAGCGGGAAGAAGTGCCACATAGTTGGGTTTGGCAAAGCAGTCCTGGGAATGGCCAACAAAGTGCAGCAGGATCTGGGAGCCACCTCGGCCGGCGGAGTCCTCAGTGTTCCGGTAAACACCCTGATGCAGTTCCAACAACCTGTTGCATCTGGTTTGGTTGTCCACGAAGGAGCGGCCAACAACCTGCCGGATGAGAATGCTCTCAAGGCAGCCCGGGAAATCAAGCAGCTGGCCGAGAAGATGACCGCCCAGGACATCCTCTTCGTCTTCATCTCGGGAGGTGGGTCTGCCCTTTTGCCGTTGCCCCGGTCACCTCTGACTCTGGAGGACAAGCGAAGCATTGCGGATAAACTTATGAAGCGGGGAGCCAGCATCCAGGAGATTAATACTGTTAGGATTGCTTGCTCGGACATCAAGGGCGGTCGCTTGGCCAGGCTTGCCGGCAAGGCGGGCCTCCTGGTGACCTTCGTGCTTAGCGACATCATCGGTGATCCCCTGGAGCTGATAGCCTGCGGTCCCACCATACAACCCGAGGCGGGAGCATCTCCATCCGACATCCTCAAAAAGCATCATGTGTGGGAGGAGCTGTCCGCCGAGATACAGCGGGTGTTTGAGCAGCCGGAGGAGCAGATGCACACATCGCTGCCCGAGCACAAGGTATTTGTGGTGGGCAGCAATCTGATAGCCACTTCCACAGCGGCCAAGGAGGCCGAAAATCTGGGTTATATTCCCTGCGTGCTCAGTTGTGCTGTGCAAGGAGACGTGGCCCAAGTGGCTGGCGATTATCAAAGATTGCTGCACGGCATCCAGGAGGCCAAGCAGCAGGGCATACTGGATCCCCAGCTCAGGGAGAGGTACGCCTTTGGAGAGAGCAGTTATCCGGCTTTTCGGAGGGCCCTGGAAGAGCACATGAACAGCAAGAAACCACTGTTCCTGATCTGTGGAGGAGAGCCAGTCATTAAAGTTTGTGGCAGCTACTTCAAAATGGTCATCAACTAATTATCCTTTACCTTAGGTTTCTGGTCAAGGATTGGGCGGCAGGAGTCAGCACTTAGCCCTGCTGATGTCGCAAGCTCTGCACCGCGACGAGGCCATACGGAACTGCACCTTCCTGAGCGCCGGAACTGATGGCATCGATGGACCCACCGATGCGGCCGGAGCTATGGGAGACAGCAGCGTGGTGGAATCCTATCTGGGTGATCACACCCTCGATGAACTGGCCGAAACGCTGCGGAATTGCGACAGCTACAACTTTTACAAGAATCTCGCGCAGGGAGAGCACCACGTGCTCACTGGACACACGGGTACCAATGTGATGGATCTGCATTTCCTGGTCGTGCCGTAGAGTAACGCCCCCGCTCGCCCATAAATCCATTTAGTTGTATACTTGCATATATATGTGGGGCAGTTCGTTAATGGAGCTGCTCTTGAACCGCAGACGGGCAATAGTCGTTTAAATTTGTTTTTACGATTTTCCTCTTTAATTTTGCTCTATGAAATTTTTACGACTTTTTTCATTAACATTTTTAATATCTATTCAAATGAAAATAATTTTGTGATCTTTATGCTCTGAGACGGTCTTCAGTGACAGCATAAAACGGCAATTAGCTTTCGTCTCCGGTTATGAAATCAGCCTGGAATTGTCTTGATTGTAATTATGTGCCATGCAATAGGCAAACCGAACGACAGATGTGATAAATCAATTTGTATATGCGATCACCGCGGAGCATAAATATATCTGAGTAATTTCCATTTCTTTTGTACTGCGTCTCATAAAAATGCGCTGCTAATAAATCATCTTAATTGTTCGTAACGCCAAAGGCAAACAGTAGCCAGCGAGCAACTACAACAATAGCCAGCGATAATTGCAATTAAAAATGTAAATTTATTTGCTTCGCTTTATTTTTAGACATACTGAAAAACTAAAACGCGACGCGCGCCCAGTTGCAATTTTAGCGATTTTTACTTGCTAACACTTTGACTGCATATTTCTCTAATTGTGATTGTTTTGCTCGCTTCTATCAACGCTTCTTATTGTTTACTTCGTGTCGAACACCAGCACATATAAGTAGTATAATTATTTTGCCGCGCATATGCAACAATTATTAAATAATCACACACTCGCCAGTCACTCTCTTGTGCTATTTTTGCTCGATTAGTTTTGTTATTAACTGCATTTCGCAGTGCACGCCTTCTGAGATGACTAAGTTCTGATTCCTTTGAAATATGCTATGACAAATCTGATGTATCTACTTACTGCGCACAAAAGTCAATTGTCTCTGTGAAGAATTTTCCTAAGATACAACTGATATGCTTAGCTGTTTTGCTGGAAAATATTTCCAACTTGTATTTGACAAGTAACTCCTCTAAAAAGTGTGCTAAACTTAAAATGTTATTTAAAGGGAAATTGTAAGGCATTTCAAAAAGTAAAAGACATGTATATACATATGTATGAGATTTCAAGAGCTTGTTTCTGTGATTAAAGACTTTCAGGAAGTGCCTGCCTCCAATTAAGAGCTCAGCTGCCCACTGATGGACACGAAGGGCCCACTCGGAGATCCGTAGCTGGCGATTAGAATCGTTTCCGTTTCCGGTTTGATGGCACAGATGTCATCGTCATCGTCATCGGCGGCAGCTATATTTAACATTTTTATTAGCCACTGACCACCAGCAACTCCCCTCCCACAGACGTGGAATGTCGCGTCAATTTGTCTGGCCCGGCATGGCAACAATCTCGGCAAGCATCCCATCCTCCCCATCACCAACACAATGATCAACATCATCATCAGCATCAGCATCACCATCGCCATCGGGACAGCAGATACGGCCATCGCCAAGATGGAGTGCAAGTGTCGCGTTGATTTATTAATTAAGCATTGGAGCGCGGCAGCTGAGCAACGCGTGGCAGCTGACGACGATGCTAATGAAGTACTCGCTGGAAATTTTAATTAACGATCTCCGAACCGATCGCCATACAGCATAGATTCCTCTTGTGTTGACTTATGACATCACACCCAGAATAGCGCAGCACCAGCTGCCAGCGAATGAGATCGAATGAGCCAGACAAACTGACGACGCTTATCACATACTCGTATGTACAAAAAACGCCGAACAAGTGGCACTGGACAACATTGCGTATACGCCGCGTGGCCCCAAACCCAACAATTAAACACTATTCAACGCAACGCACCGCCTGCGGGCGACATACATAAATTTCATTCGGTCGCCGCTGCTCTTAATTTGTCTAGACAATGGCAAAGTTCACTCCGAGCAAATATAATATAGGCAAAGTTCAATTGACACTCTTGTCAGCTGCCTTAGTTGGGGGCAAATGGACACAAATTCCAGACAAGGAACGGAAAGCACTTGCATTCTTGGCTGCGCTCATGTGAGTCACTTTTGAAACTTTCGGATGGAATCTCTTAATTTGAACCAGATGTGTGCAGCGGATTTTGGACCGATTTTGGGCGCAACGATCTGTTGTGGCAATGAACTTGACACTGTTTGAAGAACCAGAACCGTTTACATTACTTCATTTTCCCTGCCCATCTCTTTATCTAAGACTTCACGTTAGGTACTTTAATTTCAATATAAATTTCAAAAGGGTAAAGTTTAAAAGCTCGTATAAATTGAGATTATACACGCTTTGGTAGCCATTAAGCGTGCTTAAAATTTTAGATACGCTCCACTCTATGTGGAACATGAACTGAGATAAATTTGCAAACATTGTTGCTTGCCAGAGATCCTTAACAAAGATGCACTGGCTGTCGTTCCTGCTCCTCGGAGTCTCCTCCACGCTGCTGCTGGCCGAACAGTCTCCATATGTGTGCGATGGAAAGGACGACCGGGTCTGTGACGAGTATCGCTGCATGTGCCGGAGAAAAACGTCAACAGAACCGTATCCGCGAACAGAGTATGAATTTTGAAACAGAAATAATTAAAGGTGTTAACACTCGTTTTCTTCCTCCGTTAATCTAATTAAGCTGGGGGCTTTTGGCAACATAGCCAGCTTCAACTTTTGATTGCCAGTTAGCTGACGCGCCAGATACAGGAATGGCTTCTCCAGGTTATTTTTAAACTTTAGCGAAATGTCGTAGTAGACCAGGTTCATCCGCCCAAATGCTGCCTGCAGTGTGCACCCCGTGCGCTCCGTGCGCTCCGTTCTTAGCTCATTCTTGTTGCCGCAGATTACCACCGGGATTTTACTGCAGACGCGCACCAGGTCGCGGTGCCAGTTCATATAGGAGGAATAGGGCAAGGTGACGTCGATCATAATGATGGCACATTGGGCGTCGATGTAGTAGCCATCGCGCAGGCCACCCAACTCCTGCTGGCCAGCGGTGTCCCATACGATAAAGCGGATACTTCCGTGGTTGGTTTGAATGGCCACGGGGGTCAGATCCACCCCCTCTGTGGGCTCATACTTCTCCAGACGCCTTCCATGTAAAAGGCGGTTTATCAATGCCGTCTTTCCGACCTGCGCGTCGCCTAGAAGTACTAGTTTATATCCTTTCATCTTATGTGTTCAGGAAAGTATGTTCATATTGTAACTTGTTCTGTTTTTGGATCAAGGGTCTGCTGTTCTGAAATGCAAAGTTCAGCCTGCTGTAACACTGAATAACAGCTCTACGTCGAAAGTTACAAAATACACCACAAAGTTGTAATCGGGAAATCATTCCACAGCAATACTTTATGGGTCACAAATGCTTCTAATCTGAGTAGAGGTTATAAAAATTGATTTCTCTTTTAAGCAAGATGCCTGAAAATGCATCTAACAATGCCATCAATTTTAAAAGGTTTCCACAAAGCTCTCAGCTCGCCGCAAACCTTTTCCGATCTTGCAACACTTGAGTACCGATGCTCATCGCAACAATTATGTCTAACCGATGTTGATGTTGGCATTAATAATTTCGGGCTGCTACTTGCCATTTATCAAAAGCACTGATCTCCCCATATGCCGAATGGGCAGCTTAATGTCAATCGGCTCCATTCCAAGCAGCCAAGACTGCTTTGCCCCCGCACCCTGCACCATTAATGCATTACAAATAGGTGCGGCAGACCGCAACAGCAACATGGGCAAAGGGACTTGGCCACAGACGCTTCGGTGCCGTTGACCAACGTGACTGAGATTGAGATTGAGGACTGCATCTCGCTCTGGCTACCTGAGTGGAAGAGGCAGAAAACTGAAATCCAGGCAGCAGACGACCTCAAGTGTAAGGCAGCGCAATCGAGTTGCTGCAGCAGCAGCAGCAGCAGCAGCAACATGCAACATCCATAGTCCAGAAGCAGTTCAAGTTTGCGCCGAGGAATTCCTTGCCGCTGAAATAATTAAGCATTGCAACATTGTTTATTGTTGCTGCTGTTGTTGCTGCTGCTGGGTGTTGCAGGCTCGTTTAACAAGGCAGCCAAGTTCTCAACAAGTGCCTCCTCCTGTTCTACAAGTTTTTGCCTCTCCACTCCGATTTTTTCATTCTTGCGGCTGCTGCTGGTGCCACTCTAAGGAATTTCCATTTTATTTACATTTAGAATGTGCCGAACGGACTCGTCGCATGTAAAGCGGGCCAAATCGAAAGCTATTAGACCTATTAGCATATCGGGCTGGAACATGGCAAATTTAGTGGCAACATTGTTGCCGTCGCGATAAACGCACTAAAAATCAAGTCCTCACGTTTATTACCGCATCGAAGTGCCAGCATTGTGCCAATCCGAAAAAAGAATAGGAAGCGATCGTAACTTATGAAAAATATATTGATTGGCGTTCATTTCATGGCGTTTACCTGATTGTTGTGGCCAGCCCACAGTTAACTTAATTGCCACTTCCCAAGCGCTTTATTTACGGAAATACTGGCGGCTAAGCAAGTATTTTACACAAAGAAAAAATAGGTGCACTTTTGCTATACTAAATGCACACTTGTTTTATGATCTCTTACCATACCATAAACATACATTTACCTATTTGGTGATGGCTGATGGTGATTATTATTAGTAACATTAATTTGGAACATGTCTATTACAGAATGGAATTACCCGATTTTAATATGTACATTTCTCCGGGTGCATCCACTGTGTGAAAGTGTTGTCAATGCTGCCGCTTGGCCATAGCCTACAATCGCGATCTGCTGATCGAGTTGGAAAGGAAAATAGCAAGAAATCATAATAACAACAACTAAAATTTTCCATAACCTTAAAAAATAGAAAAAATGCGGCAGCTATTTATAAAATGCGCAATCTGCGAGATGCGTGCGGCAATCTGTCCGTCGGTCCGCCGATGCCGCCAGCTGTGTGCCAAGACGCCGCTGGTCCCCGGAACCCCCCCTTGGAGCCCCCTTGGAGCCCCTTGGAGCCCCTTTTGGAGCCCCCTCCTCACTGCGCTGTGTTGTCTGCGTTTATTGATTTATTAGAAAATTCCAATGAACAAGTTTTAATACACGACACACGGCGAACGATGAAGTCGATGTTGTCAGCGTGCTTGTTGTGCTTTTTCTGCTCCTCGGCTGCTTGTTTTGTTGCACTTGTGTTCCTGTGGCAAAGACAATATACTCGTATGTACGCGAAGAAAGGCTGTGGGAAAGAGACAGGGCAGCAGCTGCTAAAAGTAACAAGTGCAATATTTTAATTATATCGCGGCAAGAACAACAACAAGCTCAGCGGCAGCAATTAAGTTTGCAGCATGGATTTGGGCAGCTGGCGTTGCCAGATGGGCACACGAGGCGTATGATTGATATTAGCAGGAATCTTAGTTGCAAGACCCAAATAACAGATGGCCTTCTTTCAGATATATCTTTGAGGAAAAAATAAATTTCTAAAAATTCTAAAAAAATGTGTCTTGTATAACTAATCAGCTGAGCCTGACTTTTGTACTGCGCCTTCATTAAACTCTCACTTTAGCATATCTCAGACGATCTAGCTCCTATAACTCGAACAAGCCAAACTATCCGGCAACGCCGATCGACTCTAAGCATTTTGCAATCAATTTAGATTTGCATTAGCTGCGCTGCAGTCTCGAGAAGTCCGTGGCTTAGTCCGAGATTTGGAGCCAAAAATAAACCGAACCAGTTGCCGCAGCGCCGAAAAGTCAAATGTGTAACAGCTCTGCAGCTTTGGCTCGAAGAGAGGCTTGAAGAAAGTCGAGATATCGCAGCTGAGGCAGAAGACAGAAGACAGAAGACTGAAGACTAAAGACTGAGGACTGAGGACCGAAGACTCTGTGTAGACTGCAGACTGTGGACTGAAGACGGCGACTGAGAGAGCTGAAATATTGTAATTGTGAGTCTGGCTTGTTTGTTATTGTTGCCTTAGCGGTTGCTTGTTGTTTTTTCGGCTTGATTAATAATTAATCGCACTCGCACACACACACATACAGCTTGTTTTAATTACTCAACTTAAATGGCGCTTTGAGCGACTTAAGCAACTTGCTTTTGTGGTCGGCAGTGTGTGTGCGATCGACTCTCACTACTACGAGCTCAAACTAACTAACTAGCTGCTGCTTGTGTTGCTGTTGCTGTTGCTGCTGCTGTTGTTGCTGCGGCTGCTGCTGTGCTGTGCTGTGCTGTGCTTTGCTTTGATGTTGCTGTTGCTGCTACTCGGCTCTGCTTCTGCTTTTGCTTTTGCTTTTGCTGCTCCGTCTCCGGATCGCTTTTGCCTGCCTGTTTGCCTTGCCTCGGCCGCTTTGGACGCTCATTCAGTTTTTTGCGCTCAACGCTTGTTGTACGGAACCGAAAAACGCGTTCGTTCGTCCACAGAGTGTCGCCAAATCGTGGCGAAAGATCGCTTGTTACAACCGAATGCACAGCCCCTAATCACTTTTTTTCTGCTCTGTAATCGTTCGCGGTTTCTGCGGCCATAAAATAAAGTAAATCCGAGTTAAACGCTGATAGTCGCGCCTGAAGAACCACAGAAAAACAGAAAAAATCTGCCGTCGTTCTCTCGTTTCCGCGATCGCTCGTCAGCGACATCCCAAGCCTCTCCGATTTTTGATACCGATTCGGTATCAGATAATGTATTCGTAACCATCGCCATTCTTGCGAGTGTGCCAGTGTGAGTGAGTGATGTGTCTGTGTGCCAAATCCAAATCGAAAATAGCCAAAATCTGAGCTTGGCCACCAGCAGCACCGTCAGCAGCAAACATGTGAAGTGCCAGTGATTTGCATAAGCCAAAATCGAAGTCGAAGTCGAATCGAATCGAATCGAATCGCAGCCGCAGAGAGATAGATAGGTCGAAAGTATCTGAGTATCTGGATATCCGAGTCGAACCAGTGTATAATGTATGCGACGTTCGCGAACTGCCAGAATTGGTTGTTGTTGCAGTTGCAGCCAAAGGATTTGTGGATTTTGGAGCGTAACTGAGCGGCGTGCAGCAGGTGCACCAGGTAAGCCAAGCCGAAATGAGTTAGCAAATAATGCGCATACGCCATGGTGGCCGCGTGTCCAATTCGAGATCAATCGAATCAATTGAACGGGCTTCGAAACAGCTGACTGGGGAAAACTGGAACTGGGTGCAATGCGTGAGTCACATATACATATACACATGAATATTATGCATATGGACAGGCTGATTATTTATACAAATCTGAAAGAAATAAATACATGTAACCCAGAAGTTAGTTGATAACATCTGAAACAACAGCAATTGAGGAATGTTATATTAATTTTTTTATATCTCTGTCAAGTTTTCTATTGACAAAAGTTCTAACCACTTAAGGATTTACATTAGTTTCGACACCTCCAAAACAATTCATATTTTTATGACAAGGAAGTCGATGTTTGTTTTAAAAAGTTTGCCATTAGATAAGTCTCTTCCGTCAACTTGATATCGCTGCATAAAGTTTCGACAGATTTAACCAGTCTCCGGGGAAAAAGTGAAATTCTATCTCTAGACCCCGGACATTATCAGCAGAGACATGTGGATATCGGGTGTCACTTGCATATTCATGGGGGCCAAGTGATGAACTGAACTGAATCAACGGCATTCCACACCAGTCACAATTAGCGGCTGACACTGACATTGGCCATGGTAAAACCCTTTGGCATATGGTGCCTTATACTCGTTAATTTATGACGCCATTTGGCTAATTGAATAATTATATGTGACTGGCTGGGCGTGGCTAAGCTGGGCTTGCTTCGCTTTGGTTTGGTTTGATCGATCACGATTGCATAAGCCACATCCCACATCGAATCGGAATCAGCATCGAAATCTGAATCTGGATCTGAATCCGAATCGGTATCTATATCGATTTATTCGATTTGCCTTGCTAATGCGACGGGGGGCACTAAATCAGTGTTAAAGTTCACCCCACTGGGCTCAATTAGTTTATTAACTGCGATTTGCACTTGCAGTCGCTAAGTGCAGCAAACCCGTTGGCTAGGTGGGAAATTGATAGCTTCGAAATGTGCAAAAGTACAAAAGTAAAGTCCGATAACAAAACTAAGCTATCGCAGCAGCAGCAGCAGCTACATAGAAGCAACACAGCAGCAATATAATGAGATATAGCTACACAGATACGGCAACAGCTGATGAAGAGACCATGAAGGTCTACCACTTTCGGAAATTCGACGAAAATGAAATAAAAATCGTGAGCACGCAATGAAGCAGCCA